TCATCCCGAGGATAGACCAAGCATGGCATCTGTGGTTATCATGCTGGGAAGTGAGATTGCATTGGCTCAGCCCAAACAACCTGGTTTCTTTATAGAAAAGGAATCGCATGAAGTAGGCTCTTCTTCTGGTAATCAAATACCTTCAACAAACGAAATATCGATTACACTTTTGGAGGGCCGTTAAGAATCGATTAATTCGTGGTATACTTTCAAAACAAGTAACTTAGGGACCGTTTGATAACCATGTCAATTTTGGTTTTCAGTTTTCATTTTTTGTGCTAGAGTATAGAAGAAAAAAGGGAGAATGAAAATGAGAATGAGAGTGAAGATGGAAATTTCTTAATATCCCAAGTTCCGTGGATCTCATAAACAGACTTGTGTTAGTATTTTTCCATCTATTATTCTTTCTAACAGGCCCAATAAAAGGACTTAGGCCCATCAAATGACGAAGATTCAGGCTTTAGCCAACGTGAGCTATGGAATTTAGCATTTTTTTTCATTTTTTTTTTAAATTATTCACATTGGTTGGTTTTTTTTTATTTTTTATAAATATATACAAATAATATTCTACTTTAATATAATCTAAATTACGGAAAGAGGGATTCGAACTTAAGTGCAAAGTGGGAAGTATATTCCACTCTAACCAATTTGGCTAAGCCCTATGCACATTGGTTGGCATGTTAATCTTTTAGAAACAAAATTTATTTCATTTTGCTTGAAACTAATGAAATAAATTGATTGACGTGAGCATAGCTGCATACGTGAATGTTTGGTCCAACGTGAGTAACATGCTCTGATCTCATATTAAAATGTGAAGATGTGAGCTTTAGAAAAACCAAAGTGTAAAGTCAATGTTATAATAATAAGGCAGAGAGAGACAAGTTTTTTGCATTTTGCCATCTCACCTAAGTAAATATATCTACAACCTGCATTTTCAAAATCCACAATCTGCAATTTCAAATAAATACTAACTCATTGATCATCAACAACCTACATTTTCAAAATCCCAAATACTCAAATACTAACTCATTGATCATTAACAATCTGCAAATACTAACTCAAGTAAGCCTTACAAACAAAAATAATGAGGTCTCATTATTACCTTCACATAGGCTTACAAACCAAAATAATAAAAACATAACAGAAATATAAATGGGCTACTACTCAAAGTCGTGAACTTCAAATATTGGCAGCAACATCACTTGTGGAATCATTTGCACTAGGGGTGGGCACGGTCTGGTTCGATTCAATTCGGTTTGATTCAAGTGAAATTTTAAAAAAAAATTGGCAAATTTGGTTCTAATCCGTTTCGGTCTGGTTATGTGATAGGATTAAAAGCACACCACAAAGTAGCACACAAATAACCTATTGATTTTCCTTATTAACACTAAGATTCATCAATTGTAGCATATGAAAATAAAGGTCTTTCCCGCAGAAGATTGTCTTATCTAACTACTTGAAATGTCACAAAAACTGGGCTGCTGTCCCTACTGACCAGCCACCAAAGAAATAATTTTATGCACAGAAGACACGCAGAGCTACACTCACACAAATTTTTGGGATTTTTAGAGTTGATTTGCTATATAAATTAAATCGGACAACAATAGAACAGAAACGGATTTTCAATTATAAGAACAGATTATCTTTCACAATTAAGAAAATGAGTTAGGGGAAGTGCTATCCACTGCCAAATAGTCATGCAAACATGTTATGTTTCAATCAGATTCCTTTTATTTCCGGATGAAGATGCTCAAGTTGGCTCAATGTTAGAACTCAACCTATTACTCTTTCTTATGTAGTATGTTAAGAGAATGACGTTTTCAACTTAACTTAGTCCCTAGCATGCAATCTAGAAATGGTGTGTTCATAGATTTAACAAGTAGAAATCATTAAGAACGAAAAGAGTTTGAGTCATCACAAAGCATACATCGTAAGTACTGGCGTTGTCTTACTTATCCTAGAAATTGATTCACATGTTAATCGCAACTAACAAGTACTACTCTAGAACATATGTAGGTCCTCATTCAACAAGGGGAGGCATACACATATTCATAGCATTAGAATCCTAAATATGCTTACTAAGTATGCATCCGTAGAAAACACAAAGAATTCATCAACGAGACAAGTAGTGAAGCAATTTTCATCCTTTCATGAAAGAAATTGAAACGAAATGTCATAACACATTTGCAATCATATCTGGGGCTTCAAAACAGCCCCTAACTACTAAAAATTTAGTTACACATTATTCTTAAATTAAACCAAAAGAAAGACATGAGTTTGGGAAGGTAAAACCGAAAGAAGAGAATGCCAAGATTTCCTCCCTCCAACGTTCCTGCCTTGCCTCTCTGTTTCTTTTTCCATGGATTGCTCTCTCCCCCAACTTATTCCACTAATAGCTATTTATTGATGACAATAAGTGAGAGAAAATGGTAAAACAATTGTAACTCTTTGGGTGGCCTTTAAGCCAATTACTCCCACCTAATCCCCATCTTTAATTCCATTTCCTCATATATTTGAATAGGTTTCCGCTGGCTTGTTCTTGGCTGCATTCGTTTTGGCTGTTAGGTTTATTGGGTTTATTGCTTTCATTGCAGTTACAAACTGCTCAGCCACTTGTGAACCTTTCAGTGTTAAAACGGCCATTAATGTTTCTAGAAAAATGATATGAACAATCCACAAAGTGCTCCAGAGAATAGACATCTGTAGCTTTCCAAGCATATATGGCACGTTCTCTAATTCATTCCGAGCTGTTCGCAACTTGCTTCCAAAGTCAGCTCATCTGCACAGGCAGTTTTGACGAATTTGTGACTTAAAATCCCACTTGTGCTATTTTTCTTTTCTTTGCTTGACAGATCCTACAAAACACAAAAACAAAGTAAATAGCTCAAAAATATAAGGAACTAACTAAGAAAAGACAAGTGAATTTGATGTAAAATATATACAAATTTGAGCTTGTCATTCTGACCGGTTTCGATTTTGAACTGAATTGTTTTTTTTTATTGTTATTGTTATTGTTATTGTTATTTTTTTTTAAATACAAATTATAATAAATAAATTATTTTTTGGGTTTGAAAATTAACAAATGATCCAATTCATAAAATGAGAAATATTTTGAAGTCTAACATGGAAAAAAAAATTAATTATAAAATTAAAAATATAGCATTGGATTTAAAAAATTTATAAATATAAAAAAAAACAAAACAAAACTGGTTTGGTGTGGTGTGAAACCAAAACTGAAATCAGTTTGATTGATTCCGGTCTGATTTGTTGACTTTTTTGGTCAACCAATTTTTTCCCCTTTTCTTAATTGGTCCGGTTCTTTGTTCCGGTTTTCCAGTCCCGATACCCACCCCTAATTTGCACTACGTGGCAGTGATGTAATCTCAACAAAACATACATAATGTGAGATAAAAAGGAAGAGGTTATTGAATAACTTTAAAAATTATAAAAAATTATATAAAAAAAGGAAAAAAAAAATTACAAGAACAAGTTTAATCTCTACAAATGCACACTTACCAGATTCCATTTTCACCAAATTCTAATCAAACTCAAGATCATCTTCAGTAGGCTTCTTGTTGAAGTAAAAGCCTCACACTTAAGCCAATCATTAGTGCAAATAAGAGTCTCAACTGTTGTTGGGGTCAAACAAGCTTGAAAAGGATCCAAAACCCTATTCCCAACACTAAATGCAAATTCTGAAGTAGACAAAATTGAGAACCTTGGAGAGTTCTCTCCACGAAGCTAACAAATCAAATCCTACTGGTGCTTTTGGATCTTGAGCTGCCTCCAATAAGTATTTATCAACCTCATTCTTTATTTGAACCATATCTTTGTCCTTTCTTGTTCTTAAAAACCTTTTAGTCTTGGATCACTCCCAACAACTTACTTCCCCCCACCCTCAGCATTAACCTCTACATTAGATTAGCTAAATGTTGGATCTTCTTTCTCATAAGCCTCATACTAATGTATTAAAAGTTATTTCACCTCAACCTTAAAAGCATCATCTTCTAAATCATTATAATGTCATTCAATACTTGAATTTCCTATTTTATATATGTCATTCAATAACATGTGTTTAAGAAATTGTTGGTGACCCTTACAAGTACCTATGGTTTGAAAGGTGGAGAAACACCATTACTAGAGGCTTTAGTAATGTTTCTTGTCACATTAGGTCATGGTTTCACTAATAGAATGGTACAAGAAAGGTTCCAACATTTGGGGAAACTGTGTCAAGGTAGTTTGAGATAATATTATAAGCTATATCTCGAGTGGCTATTGATCTTATAAGTCCTAGTAATTCTGAATTCAAGAGAGTTTCAATGAAAATTAAAGATGACAATCTATATTGGCCATACTTTAAAGATTGCATAGGGGCAATTGATGGAACACATATATAGTTGTTGTGTCTAAAAAAAGACAAGTGCCTTATATTGGTAGAAAAGGCATCACTACCGAGAATATCATGGTTGTATGTGATTTTAATATGTGATTTACATTTTCTTGGGCTGTATGGGAAGATGCCGCCCATAATACACATATATTAAGGCCTTAACAATACCAGCATTGAAACTTCCACATCCACCTACTGGTTAGTAATCAAAATGTCATTTATTTCAAGTTGGATATGTTTCTTCTATCAAATATGGAAAATAATACTGATATTGTTATTGATTCACATGTATAGGTAAATATTATCCGGGTGAGCTAGCTATCAACAAATGAAATGATGTTTAGGCCTTTATAGGGGTGAGCAATATCATCTTCCTAATTTTCGATGAGAAAACCAAACAAGAAGAAGAAAGAAATTTTTAATCATATACATTCATCTCTAAGATGCACAATTGAAAGAACATTTGGCTCTTGGTGTGGTTGTTGAGCTTTTTGCTGCTGATGCCAGAAGCTTGGCTCGTCCAAGGATGGTTGTTGTGTAGTTCTTTTTGTGTTGTTTGGGCTTCGGCCCCTTTTTTACCCAAAAAAAAAATTGGCGTTTGGAAAAACCGATGGAGAATGGTACGTCAAATTCATAATTTCCTTTAAAAAAACAAGTACAAGTGTGTGTCGCTTTATTAACATCAACAAAAAAAACACTTTTTCTTTAGGTAGCCAAACACCATAAATAACATCAAAATCACTTATGTACAATATAAAAGCACTTATATGCAATAAATTGATTCTATGTAAAAGCGCTACTAGCATAGGTGATTCAGCTAAAATCACTAACGAGTAAAATCACTTCTACAGAAATACTCCCATTCTCAAGCCCCCATGAACCAAACACACCCCAGGCGTAACTTAATTACCTCTTTTAAGGTTTTTTAGGTTTTAGACATAAAAAAAATTTCACTTTTGAAAAAAGCCAAAGCTTTTTCAAAAAAGACAAAAAAACTGCTCAACTTTCAAATCAAAGACATGCAAATGTATTGGATTCCTTAGGAAATCTAAAAATAAATAAGGGCATTTTTGTCCATTTTTGCTTATTTTAAAATTTTCTCTCTCTTTTGCTTTTTATAAAATGTCCCTAGCTTTTATATAGAGAAATTCGAAAAGTCGTTTATTTGCCACTTTCTCTGTCTTTGACAATCTTCAACTGCCAACAGTGAGTACCCAGAACCCAGATTTTCTCTTCTTTTAGTTCTCTTTTGAAATTTTAAAGTAACGAATTCAAATAGGCCAAGATTTTGATCCAAAAAGCTCTCAAATTTCGTTTAGATTAGGCAGTAACAATTGAAAATCTGGGGCTGATTTTCGTCCAAGATGGAAACTTTTACTCGAAGACGCATTTTGTATTCAGTTGTTGACAGGTAGGGCCTCACCATTGATCGATTATGTAGATCAAGCAGAGGAATCTACTTTTGACTTGTCAAAAACCAACCATTTTCAAATTTCCACAATTCTTTGAAGTTTAGTTGAGGATGCATATAATCCTATCATTCTGAACCACAAGTATCTTTCCTTTCTAATTATATCTTTAACTTGCAGGAAACCATTAGGCAGTAGACATCAAGGAAAAGAAAAAGGGAAATTTAGAGTTTAATGGGTGAACTTTATTTTGTGCTATCAGTACTAATTTGCTCTTTCAGTTATTCACAATTTCCGTTGCAGTTGACAGCATTAGCCCCTTGCAGTCTATCCGTGACAACACGACCTTGGTTTCAAGTGATGGAAGCTTTGAGCTTGGTTTCTTCAGTCCAGGTAGTTCCACGAATCGTTACTTGGGGATTTGGTACAAGAACATCCCAGTTAGAACTGTTCTTTGGGTTGCAAACAGATGCAACCCCATTAATTATTCTTCCGGCATGTTGATGATAAACAGCACAGGCAATCTTGTGCTGTTGGGTCAGAACAAGAGTGTTGCTTGGTCGACAAGCTCAGTTAAACACGTCCAAAGTGCAATGGTACAGCTTTTAAATTCTGGAAATTTGGTAGTAAGAGATGTGAAAGATGGAAATACAGGAACTTATTTGTGGCAAAGCTTCGACTATCCTTCTGATACATTGTTACCAGGAATGAAGTTGGGATGGGACTTGAGGACGGGTCTACAACAGAGTTTATCAGCATGGAAAAATTCAGAAGACCCGTGTCCAGGATATTTCACTTTTGGGATTGAAATGGGACATGATACATATCCTGAGGCATATATTTGGAAAGGCACTGCAAAATACTATCGTAGTGGCCCATGGAATGGCCTGAGATTCATTGGTGCACCAGAATTAAGGCCTAATCCACTTTATCGTTTCGACTTTGTCGATAATGACGAGGATGTATACTACATGTACAACCTTCAAAATAAGTTTGTAATCTCAAGACTAGTTTTGAACCAAACCACCAGTACTCATGATCGCTTTACATGGATTGAAGCAGATCAAACTTGGAGGGCCTATTCATAAGTACCAAGAGACTTGTGTGATAATTATGGCCTCTGTGGAGCCAATGGAAATTGTATCATTGGTGAGAATCTAGTCTGCCAATGTCTAAAAGAATTCAAGCCTAAGTCTCAAGAAAAATGGAATTTGATAGACTGGCCTCTAGGATGTGTGGGCAATAAACCGTTGAGCTGCCAGGAAAGATATAAAGATGGGTTTGTCAAATTTAATGGCCTGAAACTGCCAGAGACTACACATTCTTGGGTGAGCAAAAGTATGAATCACAAGGAATGCAGAACTAAATGCTTGAAAAATTGTTCCTGTATGGCTTATAGAAGCTCAGATATCAGGGGAGGAGGTACCGGATGTGCCATCTGGTTTGGTGATCTAATAGATGTCAGGCAGTTTACAGCTGCTGGACAGGATCTGTATATTCAGATGCCAGCTTCAGAGTTAGGTATGGAACTTGGTAACATGAGCTGCTTGTTAAATACTTTTTATTTTGCTTCTATCTAAGTTAAATAATTGACCTTGATTTTTCCTATTTTTTAGCTGAATTTTCTGTTTATCGTCCCATCTCTACTGCATCATACAACCATGATGAAGAAAATGGCAGTAAACTGAAGACGGCAGTGGCAAATGCAGTTTCTGTAGCAATGGTGCTCTCTGAAGTGCTGTTAGTTGGATATTACCTTCACCGAAGCAGGAGAAAATTAAAAGGTAGATTAACTACCCTACCGTGGCCATCTTTGCAAAATGTTCATGGCTGTTTTTTAATTGTATTTTGATGAGTATTTGATAGAGGGATTTAAAATTCGATCGAGTTTAATTTGGTTAGAAGAGATATGGTGAAACTAGTACGTATTCCATCTGCATATATAAGTTTTTGTTTGCTTACTCTTACTTATAGGCTATCGCTAACATGAAGCCCATTTCTAATATATATGAAATAAAACAGAAATAGGCAAAACAAATCAGAACAATGAAGGGGAACCAAAGGAGGACCTGGAGCTCCTGCTCTTCGACCTAACCATAGTAATAGGAGCCACAAATAACTTTTCAAGCAATAATAAGCTCGGAGAAGGTGGATTTGGAACTGTTTACAGGGTAAACTTGTAACTTGCTTTATAAAGGGGCCAAACTAACAAAGAATCACTTCATCCAGAGTTTTGGAATATTTTGAAATGCTGTAAATTTCCAGGGGACACTACATGGACAAGAAATTGCTGTGAAGAGGCTTTCAAGAAGTTCTGGCCAAGGATTGAATGAGTTCAAGAATGAAGTTATTCTGATTGCCAAGCTTCAGCATCGAAATCTTGTAAAGCTACTTGGATGCTGCGTTCAAGGAGAGGAGAAAATGCTGATTTATGAATACATGCCTAATGGAAGCCTGGACTCCTTTATTTTCGGTTTGGACCTTTGGAACCTTATTTAGGCCAAATTAATTGCTTAATTGTTTTAAAATAACTCATATATAGGTTTTTAAACAGTTCTGTAAATATTACTGAAGTTGGATTTGTGTGGCAGATCAAGTGAGAGGAGGACTACTGTTAGATTGGCCTAAACGTTTCCACATTATCTGCGGAATTGGTCGCGGTCTCCTCTATCTCCATCAAGATTCCAGGCTAAGAATTATTCATAGAGATCTCAAAGCAAGTAATGTTTTACTTGATAATGAAATGAATCCAAAAATTTCAGATTTTGGCTTGGCTAGAACTTTAATTGGAAGAGATCAGACTGGTGGAAATACAAACAGAGTGGTTGGAACATAGTAAGTTTTTCTTATAATATTTTGCACGATCTAGTTTTCATCCCCATCAATGGTTTATTATGGTCTCACTTGCATATGATGTTTCTACTTTCAACAGCGGTTACATGGCACCTGAATATGCTATTGATGGGCTGTTTTCTGTCAAATCGGATGTACTTAGCTTTGGTATTTTGGTGCTGGAGGTCATGAGTGGAAGGAAAAATAAGGGATTGTACCATCCAAACCTCAGCCATAGCCTTATTGGACATGTAAGTATCAGGCGTATACTTTCTTCTTCAGACATATTAGACATGTGAATGGCCATTCACCACACAGGAGTTTTGACATGTTTCAGGCATGGAGATTATGGAATCAAGGAAGGCCTTTAGAACTGATTGATACGTGTTTAGAAAGTTCATGTACTCTATCTGAAGTGTTATGTCGCATCCATGTTAGTCTCTTATGTGTGCAACATCATCCCGAGGACAGACCAAGCATGTCATCTGTAGTTATAATGCTGGGAAGTGAGATTGCATTGGCTCAGCCCAAACAACCTGGTTTCTTTATAGAAAAGGAATCACATGAAGCAGGCTCTTCTTCAGGTAATCAATAATCTTCAAGAAACGAAATATCAATTACACTTTTGGAGGTTCGTTAACGATTGATTAGTTCGCGGTAACTTAGTTTATAGATCGAAGTGGTGTCCTTTATTGAAAAATATATAGTTTGAGTGATAAAAACCTTTTAGCTATTCATGTACATGCTACCAGCTATTTTTCAAACGTACACTTTGTGAACGAAGCAGTAAGGTTATCTTAAAGCATGACTGAAATTTTAAATTGGAATTAGATCTTATAGTATCTAACTTAAAATCAATTAAAATACTAAAGTACAATACACAAGGAGTGACGTAAGAGCACATGTGACCATTGAACCCAAAACGTGAATAACGGACCCTGGTACCATAGTAAAGCCAAAGTCTGAGTCAATGTGATAATGAGGCATAGAAAGGCTTCTTCTTCTTTATTTTTTATTTTTTTAAAATGAAAAGAAATGCATTTATTTGATGACCTGTGAGCGTGACCTGCGTTTTCAGCCATGGCGTACATTTATGACTTTGAGGTTATATATATATATAACCTAAAACATTTCAGTCTCTGGGTCACTGAAAAGCTGAAGAAAGAAACTGGATCCAATTAAATTTGTCAACTAATTTATAGTTTATGATTGCATATGTATCGCCATTAAGGGGTGTGTTTTCCAGAAGGTTGTTGACTTGTAGAGAAAGACAAAGAAACACCCATCGCAATCCACACATTATCAAATCCATTGTCCATTTGATTTAGATTTTTACAAGTCATTGTTCTCATAGCTTTTTGAATCAAGGAAAAAATAACAGGCGTAATGAAAGGTCTGTGGAAATCTAGAAATTACATAGGCATGTGATGCATTTTTCCACAAGCTTTTTGACTCAAGGATAAAACAACAGGCTTAATGAAACCATTGACAATCCAAGATTCTAAAGTGCATCACACGAGAATTTCCGAAAGGAAAATACTTGAATCCTTTCTTATAGACACATCAGAGTCAGATATAAATGTGCACAAATTTTTCCTTTTGCAATTTTAACGAGTTAGTCTTGCACATGTATTAGACGTAGCGTAGTGTCTTTTTGGAAGAAGAGGCTGATGACAGCAAAACCTTCATTCTAGAATAGCTCGGTTTGGTTGGATCCTAGTATTTTCTGAGTTAAATTAACCTAGGTCCGGATGACACCCAAATGCTGGAACTCTTGTTTGCTCATGAAAGCGATCGGACGAGTGACGTGGACGTCGGACCAAGAGTTTTTCTTCTTCTAGAATGACAGATTATGTAGTGGTTTGAAAATTCACACAGAATAGTCCAAGTGGGTTATTGATATTAAAGATAAAAATACAAAAAGAAAAGTCGTCATGTTGATGAGTTGCTTTTGGTGATAAAATAACCTACCTCTATTCAGCTTGACACTTCAGCAGCAAAGTAGTTCGACAAACAATTGAATTTGATTTTTTTTATTTAGGTTGAGAGTAAGCCTGAAAACATAATAAAATGAACTAGAACTGTGCAGGATGTGCAATGCTTAAATGAATGATTGATTAAGGGGAAGGGCAAATTATACGAATGGTCTCTAAATTTTAACCCAAACAATTTCATTTTGGTCTGCGTACTTTCATATGTGCGTCCAAACTCCTTTAATAGAGACACTATAAAGGTGTTATGAGAGTTCGAATTTGAGATCGCTGATCTACAAGTGAGTTTTTTTCACTAAACTAAACCCCCATCAGCACTTTCGATTTTAAGTTTTAAGTATCACATTTTGGGACTAAAGACTACACCAATAAATGAAATCCAACCTAAAGAAAATTGAAAAATAAGATTTTCTTGCTGGATCCGAGGGACGAGTATCCTGTTAGAAGAACTTTACATCTAACTATATTGGAGTTGTTGATGCATAAAAGTATCAGCCAACCACCTTATTAATAAGTGTCAAGATCTAAAGTAAACCTTGACCAAGAGCATTACTCTAGTCAACAATATTAGCATGGACAAAGCGGACGCCTTGTTTTTTCCTAACTAGTCTGCTGCATGGTCCACAATTCCATCCCTTACTGCAATTTGAAAGCCATCCGCGGCTACATCAAAGCTTTCAACTTCCAACCACAAGGTGTGGTTTAGAAACTATCACCTTCAACTAGCGAGTTATCTAATACCTCAATGACAAAGATTTGAAATTCGTTGAAAGTATTTTGTGGTTATGGACAAGTCGAATTCTGAGAGGAGATTAATCTTACCCTTCAGATGTGAGGACATCTCGTAATATTTACCAGAAAAAAACCTTTCAACTTCCGGCTAAAAAATATATATATTTCAAGGAACGTTCCCTTTTTATTTTCAATACAAAATCTTCATTGTAAGAAAATGATTAAGAATTTTTTTAAAATACAAGCCATAATCTAACTATAATAAGAAAGATTTCTCACACCTACTATCTCATTGTAAAAAAAAGTTAAAGAAATGAAGTGCGCTTTTAATGCTAGGTAGGAAAGGGACCAAATTTATCTGATACAGACAAGTCAACTGCGTGCAGTTCCGGGTCTTTGGGTTCTTCTTAATGCTCCACCAAATTGTATCAATACTTCAACTTGTAAGCAGTAAGCTTGATACTGAGAAAGCTAGAATAGATTTCAATGGAGCTCCTCTGTTTCTTGGTTTTCAGTATCTGCTTACTCTTTTCTCTGAGCAGAATTTCATCAGCTGCTGATACCATTACTTCATCTCAGTCCCTCAGTGATGGTAAGTCATTGGTTTCTTCTCCGGGTGGAATATTTGAGCTGGGTTTTTTCAGTCCAGGCATTTCCAAGAGCCGCTACTTGGGAATTTGGTACAAGAACATCCCAACTCCAACTGTTGTTTGGGTTGCAAACAGGCAAACTCCAATCAATGGTTCCACTGGCAGCTTGATGATCAACAGTACAGGCAATCTTGTCCTTGTCAACAACAACAACAACCAGACTGTTTGGTCTACAAATTCATCAAAACAGTCCCAGAGCCAGCGCCCTGTCCTGCAGCTCCTGGACAATGGCAATCTTGTCCTCAGAGATGAGAAAGATGCAAACTCAGAAAAGTACTTGTGGCAGAGTTTTGACTACCCATCTGATACTTTGTTGCCAGGAATGAAGCTTGGATGGGACTTGAGGACCGGACTTAATCGACGTCTAACGGCATGGAAAAGTTCAGATGACCCTTCTCCAGGGGACTTCATCTGGGAAATGGAGCTGCATGAGTATCCTGAGCCAGTTATGTGGAAAGGGTCCAAAGAGTACTTGAGAAGTGGCCCATGGAATGGTGTTTTGTTCAGTGGTAAACCAGCCAAGGCACTTCCTGCATTGAACTTCAGTTTCATCTCCAATGAGGATGAGGTTTACTTGACAATCGACATGGTGAATAAGTCTGTACTTGGAAGGATGATCATGAACCAAACCACGTCGACGCCGTATCGACAGGAGTGGATTTGGTCCGAAGCAGACCGGAATTGGACAATTTATGCAACGTTTCCAAGAGACCCTTGTGATAGTTATGGCCACTGTGGTGGTAATGGCAATTGTGTTCTTAGTTCATCCCCAATTTGTCAATGTTTGGATAGGTTCAGTCCTAGATCACCGGAGAACTGGAACTTAAATGAGTTTTCACAAGGCTGTGAGCGCAGGAAGCCATTGAACTGCAAGAATGATGGATTCGCCTCGTATCCCGGGTTGAAATTGCCCGATACTACTCATAGTTGGGTAGATAAAAGCATGAATCTCAAGGAATGCAGGGCCAAATGCTTATCTAATTGTTCTTGTTCTGCTTATACAAACTTGGATGTGAGAGGAGGAGGCAGTGGTTGTGCCATCTGGTTCGATGATCTTGTGGATATCAAGCAAATGCCAGGTGGTGACCAGGATATATATATCAAGGTATCTGCCTCAGAACTAGGTATGAACTTATGGATGTTCCAATTTGATCTTTATGAATTAGAATGTCCCTTTTCTGTTATGTGTAAGTTTTGTCTTGATTTTAACTATGTCTGCATACTGTGTCCAACAAAATCATACATGAAGGAGGGAAAGATGAGAAGTGGAAGTTAGCTGTGATTATTGCTTCTGCCTCTGCCCTTATTCTTGGGATGCTCTTAGTTGGCTATTGTTGCATTCTCAAAGCCAGAGGCAGGAAAAATGTCAAAGGTAAGATTACCTACTCTAACCGCCTTTGCAGTGATAGAATTAGAGCCATATTTATCTTCAAAAACTTGCAGGAAGATTTTCCTACTAATTGTAATAGAATCACTAGTTCATTATCTTGAACAAGAGTAGCTATAATGACTGATAGTTTTTACTTTTTATTCGTTATATAAGGTAAAGACGTTGAAGAACAGAAAGACGAAGATCTGGAGCTGCCATTGTTCGACTTGACAACAATAGAGGGTGCCACAAATTTCTTTTCAGTCAACAATAAGCTTGGTGAAGGCGGTTTTGGACCTGTATACAAGGTAGTTTTTAATCTGCTAGTATAAGAACCATAGTTTGAGGAAGCACTTGCTTCATTTGGGACATCACCATCGTTCTGCAAATATGAATAATCTTCAGGGTAGACTCATAGATGGTCAAGAAATTGCAGTCAAGAGACTCTCAAGAAGTTCTGGACAAGGAATAAAGGAGTTCAAAAATGAAGTAATACTGATTGCCAAACTTCAACACCGAAATCTTGTAAAGCTTCTTGGTTGCTGCATTCAGGGAGAGGAGAAATTGCTGATCTATGAATACATGCCCAACAAAAGCTTGGACTACTTCCTTTTTGGTTTGTTCCCTTAAAATTCTGAATCTAGTTGGACTTTGTTTTTGGTTTGATCCCTTGAAATTCTGATAGTGTAGTGGGACTAGCCTACTGTACAATACTCCTCTGACAGTTCAAGTTTGAAACTTTCCAGATGAAACACGACGTAAATTGTTAGATTGGCCTCAGCGCTTCCAAATTATCTGTGGGATTGCTAGGGGGCTTCTCTATCTTCATCAGGATTCCAGACTGAGGATTATACACAGAGATCTCAAAGCAAGTAATGTTTTACTTGATAGAGACTTGAACCCGAAGATCTCAGATTTTGGTCTTGCTAGAACTTTTGGTGGAGATCAAACTGAAGGAAATACAAACAGAGTGGTTGGAACATAGTAAGTATTTCTGGCATTTTCTTTGCATTCTATACAATTCTCCTTTTGTTTGTAATTTAACATTGCTTAATTTGTTTCAATGATGTTTTCTAAATATAGTGGTTACATGGCACCTGAATATGCTACTGAAGGGCAATTCTCAGTGAAATCTGATGTCTTTAGCTTTGGTATTTTACTGCTGGAGATAATAAGTGGAAAGAAAAGTAAAGGGTTCTATCATTTGAACCACCGCCTGAATCTTATTGGAAATGTAAGTTAAACCAGTAAGTTCAAGCCCAAGATTTCTTTTTTTCTTATGTATGTTAAAAGAATGAATGACAAATATGTTCAACATGTTTTAGGCATGGAGATTGTGGAAAGACGGAAGGCCATTAGAGCTGATTGACGAAGGGTTTGGGAACTCATGCACTCTATCAGACGTACTGCGATGCATCCATGTCAGTCTGTTATGTGTGCAACTACAGCCTGAGGACAGGCCAACCATGTCATCTGTAGTTCAGATGTTATGTAGCGAAAGTGCCTTGCCTGAGCCCAAAGAACCAGGATTTGTTCCAGAAAAGGATTTACTCAACGGAGAGTTTCCCCTAATTAACAACGAACCATCTTCTAATGGTTTAACCATTACACAACTCGAGCCTCGTTAAGGATCATTAGATCATATAAATTTATGCAGTGTTGTTTGTCATACATTGTATATATGTTTAAGTCTTCCAATGCCCAAGTTACAATAATCCTTGTTGTCAAATTTTAACTGTTACAATGTACTCAATGTTGAAATAATCAGTGCCTTATTCCCACTACTTGTCCATAATCAAACCAAAACTGGATTTTTGCCCAATTTACCCTGCCCCAACCATACAAGCAGTTCTGTGCTGCAAATGTAATGTGGACATACAAAGTTGTTTCAATGGTTTATGGTGATAATCTAAGAAGTTAGTGCCTATAACTATCTCCAATTGCAAATGTAAGACACCTTCTGTAGCTTATCACTCAGCTCAAGACTCCAGAAGACATGCCAAAACTCTTGGCACTTCGTTCTCGATTTCAGGCAGGTAGCGTAGCTTGCAGCATATTACAGCACATCATTTGTCAGCAATGAGACCCCTGCAAATATTTGTTTTAAGTACAAGGCCAGAAGGAGAGGGGAGGTTTATTTGAAACTTGACTCCCTTGCACATATTATACAATACTTTACTTGCCACTTGACTATAACAAAGGAAAAAAAATTAAAATTTCAGATTGTGTAATTATGTTCTTGACATTTCAGTTGCTGGGATGCCAATCTTAACGTTTCAACATCGCTGTTTTCTTTGACATTCGTTCTAGTTGCCTTTGAATTTTTTGGATGACTTTCTTTGGCATCCAGTTCAAACAATATTTGCTTTTACTCTTCCAATTTTTTTTATAATTTTTGGGTCCAATAGCCCCTGGAATTACACATGCAGCAACCACATTAATCAAATCACATGTTGGCAAACTGCCCCACCAACTTCTAGCTCCTTTTTTCAGGCAAAGAAATCTGGTTTCATCATTAAGTGGGTCAAAAAGTCAACTAACTTGTGGTTGAGGTCTATGCCTTTGAGCTCCTTCATAATGTCTCCATCTAGCTACCATCTTCATCTGCAACTTGTTCAAATTAAAGACTTTACAGTTGTGAATTGTAATTAGTAGGCATACTAGTCCAAGACTAGAAAAAAAATGGACAAAATTCTTTCCTTCATTTCCATTGGAATTTATGTGTTCCTCATTTTCTGCAGAACCTCAACTGCAGCTGACACCTTGATTTTCAAACATGGCAGCTTTCAATTGGGTTTCTTAAACACTGGGGTTTACAGGCGTCAATTAGCATCAACTTCAGGTGATTACTGTGACAACGATGGCCTTTGTGGCGACAATGGAATGTGTGACATTAGTAATTCACAAGTCTGCAGTTGTTTAAAAGGGTTCAAGCCCAAAAGACCAGACAAATGGAACTTGGGAGAATATACAGAAGGTTGTGTGCGGCCTGAACTTTTGAAATGCCAAATTAAAGTTGGGTTTATGAAATATGCTGCAGTGAAATTGCCAGATATCACAAATTCTTGGGTTAATCAAAGTATGAGCCTCATGGAATGCAGAGCAAGTTGCTTGAGCAACTGTTCTTGTATGGCTTACTCAAGCTCCGGTATCAAAGGAGAAGGCAGTGGCTGCACCATCTGGTTTGGTGATCTTATCAACATTAGAAAGCTTTTGGCTGGTGGGCAGGATCTGTATATTCGAATGCCTGCTTCGGAACTGAGTATGTGCAACAGGTTTTTCTTTTGTCCTCAATGAATAATTAGGTTCTCCATTATGTATTTATTTAATCACATTGCCCGCTGAATCCATTATATTATTTCCCCTGCTTTATGTTCTTCACATATTTTTCATTTTAGCTGTGATTTAACAATAACTGTTTTTCCCTGTTGAAACTACAAAGACGCGAATTGCCGAAAGACAAAGATCGCAGTGATAGTTGTATCCATTGCTTCCATTGTTTCTGGGATGCTCTTAGCTGTTTGTTGCATTTGCCGTAAGAGTTCAAAGTTCAAAGGTAATATTTCTTCTATAACCACCTTCTTTGCTTTTTTCTTTTCTCAACTAGATACTGTAAAGGGGGGAGTTACTTCTCCATTCTGCAATGCAATATCCTGAGCAAGAATACTTTGATGTGTTCTCATTTAGTTTCAACTCTCTACGCTTAAGAAAACCATAAGTAAACACTCTGAGATTTTGGCACATTGACAGCATCTCATGTGACTCTGAATTCTGAGGCAGGCATGGTGAAACTAATGGATATGGAATGACTTGCATTACAAATAATGATCAAAAGAAACAAAAAAGGGGAAAGAAAAAAAAAACTACCTGGGAGTGTTGTTGATATAAGCTTAATATGGGCAAGAAGTTTCTTTCCAATTTGTGGTAACTTATATCTAGCATGCTTCTTATTAGAGAAAATGGGGAAGCATGGAACAATGAGTCAGAACTATGAAGGACAGAAAGAAGACCTGGAGGTACCATTATTTAGTCTGTCCACAATAGCCACTGCTACTGACAACTTTTCATTCAACAAGAAGCTTGGAGAAGGTGGTTTTGGACCAGTATACAAGGTAAATTTCCTATGTGTGAGCAAAAGAACTTTAAGCCTCACTGGAGCAGTTTTTCTTTTTCTTTCTTTAAACTCTGTAATCCTTTTGCCAATGAGAATTTTCAGGGTAGACTAGTAGATGGGCAAGAAATTGCGGTGAAGAGGCTCTCACAAAGTTCAGGGCAAGGATCAAACGAGTTCAAAACCGAAGTACGACTAATAGCCAAACTTCAGCACCGAAATCTCGTGAGGCTTCTAGGTTGTTGCATTGAGCGTGAAGAGAAGTTGCTGATTTATGAGCACATGCCCAACAAAAGCTTGGACTTCTACATTTTTGGTTCGGACCCTTTCTATATCTTACTATATACTTTTTGTATCAGTTTTACTTATGAGATCTCAAATTGGAGTAACATGAATTAAAACTTGCTAGATCAAACTCAAGGTAGACTGTTGTATTGGTCAAAACGCTTCCACATTATCTGTGGGATTGCCAGGGGTCTTCTCTATCTGCATCATGATTCAAGATTGAGGATTATTCATAGAGATCTTAAAGCAAGTAATGTTTTACTTGACAAGGAGATGAACCCAAAAATCTCCGACTTCGGCTTAGCTAAAACTTTTGGAGGAGATCAGAATGAAGGAGTTACAAGAAATGTTGTTGGAACCTAGTAAGTATGCAGAACATCTCTGCTTATGATCTGTTAGTTTCTTAACTAGTGTGTTTTGCTCCTTGCTCCATTACATCTCTCCTTATTATCTACAAGCTTTTAAATTAATTTGTTATGTTTCTTATAAATACTACAGTGGTTATATGGCACCGGAATACGCCATTGATGGCCAATTCTCTGTAAAATCAGACGTTTTTAGCTTTGGCATTTTGTTGTTGGAGATAATAAGTGGGAAGAGAAGTAGAGGATTTTATGATCCGGATGAACACCTTAACCTCATTGGATATGTGAGCATTCTCCATCAAATTCTTCATTTACCTGTGTTTGATGTTGTGGCTGATAAAAATATATATTATGTGCCTCTTAGGCATGGAGATTGTGGAAAGGAGGGAGGTCTCTAGAGTTGATTGATGAAAGCTTAAGCGACTCATGCGCTCTATCAGAAGTCTTGCACTGCATACACATTAGTCTTTTATGTGTGCAACAGCTTCCTGAAGACAGGCCAACCATGTCATCTGTGATTCTGATGTTAGGTGATGGGGGCGCCTTGCCTCAACCCAAGAGGCCAGGTTTCTTTGGTGGAAGATATTCATCTGAAGCAGATTCTTCGTCAATTAAGAACGAAATATCTTCACCCTTTGACTCTACAATAACCGTGCTGGAGGCTCGATAAGATTTAATCTTGTACCATGTAAATTTTTCGAGGTATTATTGATAACAGTGTTGCAGTGCAATTTTCCTGCAGAAACAGTCAAATTATATTAACACATGGAATATTTTTTTTTGAATGCTCCTTGGAGTAAAAGTAACATTATAGCTTCCACTTCCAGGCTCATGTTCTGTTTGAAGCTTGATAGTTGGAGTTTCTGCAAGCACCGGTCTAAAAAAGCTTGGCAGGAATGGATCATGTTGCAGATTTGGGTGAATTAAACAGTTTTGGGCCTTCAATGTCCTAACATTCTTCAACGATGTGTTTCTCAAAGCTTGTGATTGGCATAGAATGATCATGAGCAAGGAAGGATGGCCCATCAATATTAGCTCTCAGTCCCAGTCAGGGGATACAAATTTCATCTGCACAGCCAAACATGTAATGGAGCCTAACAAGAACAGCTGTAGAGATCCTACTTGTATAACTTATAATAGAATCACTAATAACTCAGCTAAAGCAGCAAGAAATGAAAACAGAAAATATCCATTTTGTTATGAAGGTTAAACCAATTGCAATGAATGGCATACATTCTATGCATATCAAAGATTTGATGCAGAAAAAATATATGAAATGTTGTTTATCAAACATTCCATGCATAGATCTTTCTACTGTCCAAGCTAAGTCACTCCTTTGGTAACTTTTTTTTTCAAGGGCTAAATATCAAATCTTTACCTGCTACAACGCACTCAATATTGAAGTTAGCTGTACTTACCAAAACTAGATATTTACCCAATTCAACTTGTCTCAACCAGCTAGCCTGATGTTGCTGCAAATGTATTGTGGACTTACAACAGTTGTTTTAAGGGATACAATGATTAATCTAAAAAGTTAATGTCTAATTTAATCACGTGTCATTGTCTTATTGGCCGGAATAGTAAAAAGTGATATTCCTGTTATATGAGAGTTTCTCTCATCTAACAAACATGAGTTAGGTCAATTTGCCAGGACATGTACCCACTCTCTTGCTTCCGAATTCAATCTCCCACCTCATAGATTAGAACAATTTAAATTAGGGAGTGTAAGTGGACAAAAGAAGAGTGGGAACATACAATTTCTAATAAATGGAGTGTAAATGGACAAAAGAAGAGTGAGAACATACAATTTCTAATAAAGTGTAAGTGGATAAAAGAGGAGCGGGAAAATCAGCTCTCTTTAAACTATGGCTTGTATAAAAATTTAAAAAAAAACAAAAAAAAACAAGTTAATGCCTATAGTTACCAATGATCTATGAACTTACATTTTAGTCCTCGGTCATTCATGTAACTGTTCAACTCCATCACACACGTTTAATCATTCAGTCAACCCCGTAGAGTTTTTATCAAGTTCATAAATGAGTTAGGAATTTCATCCCCACATCATTTAATCCCTTTTATTTCTGACTTTCTCCCTAGTACAGATTCGCAGTAGGCTCTATGTGATGTGACTACCCAATAAAATCAAATAGGGCCCGCGTGTCTACTATGGCCACTTCACTTTCATCTTCTTTTTCGGTCCAAATGCACTTGTGTGTACCCTATAGGACTTCGCGCCATGACCCCCCAAACTTCTCCATCTCCTTCACCCCAACAATCTTCTTGGGTCTTCTCTTCTCCTGGAAAAGAAGGAATCGCAGGTCTCCCTCTCTCTCTCTGTTTTTTATTTATTTGGGTTACAACTTCGGCTTTCTTCCTATTATTGTCTGAGTTGAGGCTCCAGAATCTGATGGACTTACTTACTCTTTCCAGTTTCATTTTAAGTAGTATTACGCATGTATATTTGCAAAGAATATAATTTTCCCAATTCCCAGGCTGGCCCGTCACCCGCTAAACTTCGATCTGTGGGGCCAAGCCGTGTTTTTTTTTCATCTTTGTGGGCCACAAAAGTCAACAAATCTGTGGATGGCGGTCAATGGCATTATGCCCCCTTCTTCTGGATACAATACTACATCATCTTTGTACGTATCTACCCATCTAAGAATCTTGAACTTGTAAAGATTTTACTTAGTAGTAGGCTGGCAGGCTGGCAGGCATAGATGATGTAGAACTCCAAGACTAGAAAGAAAACAATGGGCAGTATTTTTTCATTCATGTTTATTGGAATTTATGTGTCCCTCTTTTTCATCAAAACCTCAACTGCAGCTGATGCCATTACTCAATCCCAATCCCTTAGAGATGGTAACACCTTGATCTCCAAACATGGCAGTTTTGAATTGGGTTTTTTCAGTCAACCAGCTCCTGAGTCCAAAAACAGCTTCTTGGGAATTTGGTACAAGAGTTCTGTTTCATTAGTCACAAATGTCACTTGGGTTGCAAACCAGCAAAACCCCATTAATGGTTCATCTGGGATTTTGATGATAAACAGCACGGGCAGTGTTGTCCTTCTAAGCCAAGATCAGACTGTTCTTTGGTCAATAAATTTGTCCAGACAACCCAGGAATCCGATTTTGCAGCTCTTGGATTCTGGCAATCTTGTCCTAAGAGAAGCCAAAGATGGAAACTCAGAAAACTACTTGTGGCAAAGCTTTGACTCTCACTCTGATAAGTTGTTTCAGGGTATGAAGATTGAATGGAACGTAAAGAATAGGGCTTGCAGGAGTCTATTGGCGTCAAGGGTAGAGCATGACACATCAACTTCAGGAGACTACTGTGACAGTAATGGACGTTGTGGACCCAATGGAATATGTACCATTACTAAATCCCCAGTTTGTAGTTGCTTCAAAGGCTTCGAGCCCAAAGCACTAGGAAAATGGAACTTTGGAGAATACCAAGAAGGTTGTGTGCGTACTGTACCTTTGAGCTGCCAAAATAAACATGAGTTTATCAAATATCCTGGGGTAAAGTTGCCAGACATCACAAATTCCTGGGTCAACCAAACTTTGAGTCTCAGGGAATGCAGGGAAATTTGCTTGAACAACTGTTCTTGTATGGCTTACGCAAGCTCCAGTGTCAAAGGAGGAGTCAGTGGCTGCACCATCTGGTTTGGTAATCTGATGAACATCAGAGAGCTCTTGGATGGTGGACAGGATCTGTATATTCAAATGCCTGCTTCAGGATTAAGTATGTGCAACAGATTTTCTTTTTCTCCTCAGTAAATAATTAGGTGCGCTACTAATGTTAAATCATTAATCATTTTCTTCCTAGGGGCTCAATCATTAAGCCAATAGTTGTGTATTGCCTGATGAAACCATAATTTTCTGTAAACTTTTGATCATTTCACTTGTTTTATGTTCTGCTCATATTTGTCATTCTAGCTGTCATTTAACAGTAGTTCTCTTGCTCTGTTGAAATTAACTATGAAGAGGCTAATTGGCCTAAGACAAAGATAGCCGTGATAGTTGTAGCTGTTGCTTCAGTTGTTTCCGGGACACTCTTAGCTGTTTATCGCATTCGCAGAAAGAGGAGAAAGTTCAGAGGTACTAGTTCTTCTATGAACTTCAACTTTGTAAAACTATTGCCATTTTACCTTAGTGTTATTCAATAAAATATTATAAAGAGAGGTTGCTACACCCATTCTGCAATGCAGTATTCTGAGCAAGAATATTTTTTTTATGTGTTTTCATTAATCTCAACTTTCAATGCTTTAGAAATGAATTCCACTATTGAACATTGTCACCAGCCAAAAATACCAAGCCGCTGTCTGAATTGTGAGGCTGCCTTGATGAAACTAATACACACTTCATGAATTTCAATCACACAATGATCAAACAATAAAAAAAGGCCACCCAGGACTTCTTTTCATATAGAAGACTAGATGTTGGTTCTTGTTATTCTAGTTTGTGTTGACTTCAAATCAAGCATTTTTCTTAATTGATAATTATATAATATTTCTGGGTTCCATCCTACGTCTGCATCAAGTGCTGCTCATTTGACTTTACCAATGATCTCTTTTCTTAAGATGGTGTCTTTAGCTTCCAACCATAGCATGGTGTACTGAATCATGCGCTATCCACTCCCCATGACATTTGCTTCAGGGCAGATTAAACTCATTACTCATGTGGATTTAGATTCCTTAAGTTTGCAGTTATTTGTTGTATAGGCTCTGTTACCTGAGTGGAACAGTGACCCTTTTAAGAGAATGAATGAGTACAGGATAGGAAAACACAAAAGATACACTGCTTTTATATTTTAATTATATGGTCATTTGATTTGTAATTACTCTAAATGTATTCATATTTTGCTTCTCATTCATCATACTTGGGAAGTAGTTGATCTTCTTTATTTTTTTAGAGAAAATTAGGAAGAATGGAATGATGGGTCAGGACAATGAAGGACAGGAAGCCAACCTGGAGCTACCATGTTTTAGTCTGCCAACAATAGTCACCGCCACTGATAACTTTTCATTCACCAGGAAGCTTGGAGAAGGTGGTTTTGGACCTGTATACAAGGTGAGTTTCCTAGATGTATGCATAAGAACTGTAAAGAACAATGAAGTTTTTTTTTTTTTTTTTTTTTTTTTTTTTTCCTTCCTGAAAAAGAAATTTGTTTTTTAATCCTCCTCCTTTTTATGAGAATTTTCAGGGTAGACTAGAAGATGGGCAAGAAATTGCTGTGAAGAGGCTCTCGCAAAGTTCAGGACAAGGGCCAAATGAGTTCAAAAATGAAGTACTACTAATAGCCAAACTTCAGCACCGGAATCTTGTAAGGCTTCTAGGCTGTTGCATTGACGGAGAAGAGAAATTGCTTATCTACGAATATCTTCCAAACAAAAGCTTGGACTTTTACATTTTTGGTTAGGATCCTTAAAACTTACTATATACTGTTAAAAATAGTTTTACTAGCCATTTTTAGGTTCTAAAACTCTTCAGCTTGCTCATTTGGGATTTCAAATTGGAGTAACTTCAATTAAAATTTGCAGATAAAACTCAAGGTAGATTGTTAGATTGGTCGCAACGGTTCCACATTATACGTGGGATCGCTAGGGGACTAATCTATCTTCATCAAGATTCCAGACTGAGGATTATCCATAGAGATCTTAAAGCAAGTAATGTATTACTTGATAAGGACATGAACCCAAAAATCTCAGATTTCGGCTTGGCTAGAACATTTGGAGGAGATCAGACCGAAGGAGTTACAAGAAACGTGGTTGGGACCTAGTAAGTATCCATTATAACTCTCCTTGTTACATACTATTTTCGAAGTTCAAGTGATTTGTTTCTTCTCGTATAGCATTTTAATTATCATCTAATAGTTTCTTAACTAATGCGTTTTGTTTCTTGTTAATACCACAGTGGTTATATGGCACCAGAATATGCCATTGATGGTCAATTCTCCGTAAAATCAGACGTTTTTAGCTTTGGAATTTTAATGTTGGAGATAGTAAGCGGGAAGAGAAGTAGAGGATTTTATGATCCGGATGACAACCTTAACCTCATCGGACATGTGAGTAGTCTCCATCAAAGACCTCATATATGTGTGTTTGATCTTGTGACTAACAAACATATTATGTGCCTTAGGCATGGAGATTGTGGAAAGGAAGGAGGTCTTTAGAGTTGATTGATGAAAGCTTAAGGGACTCATGCACTCTATCCGAACTCTTGCGTTGCATACATGTTAGTCTTTTATGTGTGCAACAGCTTCCTGTAGACCGGCCAACCATGTCATCTGTGATTCTGATGTTAGGTGATGAGTTCCCCTTGCCTCAACCCAAAAAACCAGGTTTCTTTGGTGGAAAATATTCGTCTGAAGCAGATTCTTCTTCAAGTAAGAACTTAACATCTTCAACTAACGAACCATCTTCAACCTATGACTCTACCATAACGTTGCCTGAGGCTCGATGAGATGCAATTAATTGCAAATCTTGCACCATGTAATTTATTCGAGGTATTATTCATTGCTGTGTTGACGTGCAATTTTCCCACAGAAACAGTCAAATTATATAAAAATTGAAATAGTTTTTCAATGAACATTGGAAAACTTGTAGCTACTAGAGTAAAAGAAGGGAAAAGATAAGTGGCCAGTGATTATATATGTGATACTGTTACACCAAAATAGCTTCCAGGCTGATGATGGTCTAATGCAGGCTTGAATGTTTTGGAGTTTCTGCAAGCATGGTCAAAAATGTACTAATGCTAGATGCTTTGGATTTTTTTAATTCTTTTGGCTGGAATGGATCATGTTGAAATTTTGGGACCATTAAACAGAACATTGGGCCTTCAAATGGTGGGTTTCTCAGAGCTTGTCATTGTCATCCACAAAGAATAATGAGCAACACAGAATAATGAGCAAAGATGAGGCCATCAATTTCAGTCAAAAATTTCTTACAACGCTACTCAAATTGAGATTTCAACTGCACACCCAACACCCCAAATATGTAATGGACACCCAGACTCTAAAACAAATAACAACAGACAGTCTTGCTGAATGCTGAGCCTAACAGGAACAGCTACTTGTTAAAAAAATAACATCTTTTTCCCTCTCCTCGAGTTTTTTCTCACATCAGCCCTATGGATAAATAATCTTAATGTGAGCACAACTGTATCTCTAGAACAGCTTTCATTGTCTGCTCTTAAGATATACTCATTACCACCACCACCACCATCCGAGCCGCTAACTATTATGAATTCTGCAGGACTTCCATAAGGAATTGTGACAAATGTGTTTGGCGAAAACTTCTCCGTAACTACAACACCACTTCCACTAGGTCCTCCACTGCCCTTAATGCTGTAAGCTCCCCTCTTAATGGCCAATGTAGCAGGTTCCCAAATGTCAAGATATCCAGCGAACTGAAATATTTTAAATGAAGCCTGACCCTTATAAAGAATCTTCTCTATCTGGCCTTGCATTTCAGTATCACAAGTGATCTTCTTGTGCTCATTGGCAAACACCTTTACAAGCTCTCCCTTGCGCTTCCTGTTATCCAGAGGCTGGACTTCGATAGCAAGGTATGTATCAACATCATCAGCAGTTACAAGATAGTTTGGTTGCTTTGCTCCATCAATGTAATTGACAGATCCATCTTGCATGTGGCGCACCCACTCAAAGTTACAACTGGTTGTTCCGTTGATAGAGTACCCGCTAGCTTGAAGTTCATGCCCCGGAAAAGCTTCACCCGAAATTTGGAGGCCCTCTATAGCTGGTAATGGATCATCATCTGCAGCCTCTGAATATGAAGATGAACCACCCTCTTCGAGAACCGGCGGTAGATAATGAGGATACGGGGAGCTGGAATCGTTAAGCGGGGATGTGTAAGGAGAGTTCCCTGCACTCCAATTGGATGAGGTTTCTCTGTCATTCTGGTTTCCCTCTGCATATTGATCATCCATCTCTCTGTGTGTGTTCCCAACCGGATCACGAAAGGTGACCTGTCTATTGCTTGTCCCTCCACTATAATGATTTACTCGCTGTGTATCACCTTGAGTAACAGCAAGATTAACAGGAACATCTTGATCTTGGCCTGCTGAAGTCCTGCTTGGAACAGGTGAATACCTCCCCAATCCCAAGTCATTGGTTTCCACATTGTTGGGGGCACCACCACCGAAACCACTCTGAGCATGATGATCCCAATCCGCAGTTGTCTGAGTATCAGAAGCAGAAGCTGGCACTCTTCCAACATTGGAAGAATATGTTGGCTGATTCTGAGCAACCATTTCAAGCCCATTTCTGCTCACATTTAGCAATGCTCCACCACCAATGGACTGAGATGGTGGTGAAGGAGGCGCAGCAATGCTAATGTTATTAGGCTGCTGATTCGAATCTGGTCGCCAAGGCGTTAACTGATACTGCAACTCCTTCAATTTGGACTCAGTAAGAAGCAACTTCTCCTGCAAATGCCTAAACAGAACCTTGACATTGCCAACAATGGACTGTGCATCAGGAACCGGAGGCTGCAATGAGTACTCAGCCAGAATTGGCAGCAAAGAGGAAATAAACGTCGACCTCTCCTGCTGTGCATCCTGCACGGCATAAGCGAGCCGAATGTTTTCCTCAATAATGTCCTGTCTGTAAGACAGAGCCTTTGATGCAGCATCAGCAAGGTCCTGCTGCTGCTGATCAAATGCCAAACGCATATAAGCAATGCGCTTCTCCAGCACATACTTTTCGTTTTGAATTTGCGCTTCTTTGATCGAATAATCCGCCAAATGCTTTCGCAATTGCATAATCTCTTGTTCATGTTCATGAACCTTAACAACCAGATCCTTCTTCCACAGGCTGTTGCTGGGGTTGTTTCTTTCAGTCAATGGCATCAACCCATGTCCAGAAAAATTGACACGCTGAGGATCATATTCCCCTTCGGTGCTCGACCTTCCCGGAGAAAGCGACGTCGTTGTGGACGGTGAAGACAACCGAGAGATGCCACTGCTGGCGTTTTCTGCAGCTGCCTGATTACCAGAAACTCTAACGACCTTCATGGCTCCATTGATCTCGCTGCTACCCAATTGGGTTTCTCGGGTTTCTGATTCTCTATGAGTCTGCGCGGGATTTGCAATCCTATCGATTTGATTGTCGACATGGGCAACTGGTTGATGAGCTTGATCATGAGATCCATGGAGGCGCTGGGCCCATGGATCAACAGAAGGCGGCATTTGGGTGGGCATGGATTCCTGGAGCTTGTATCTGTGGAGCTCGAGCATCTTGTGTTCGAGCTGGGTCCTCAATCGGATGTTCTCTTCAACCTGTTGCTTGATTGTGGCCTCAGCAGCTTCCATGGCTTTCATGACCTGAAGCAAGTTTCCGTCTTGATTGCTGGTGCTGTTGTTTGAAGAACGAATTGGGTCAGCACCTGCAATCGTCAAACCTGAGAATTTCTCAGCAATTTTCCAATCGTGACCGTTCTCCATTTTCTCTCTGCTCTTTTCTTTTTTTGGAGAGGGATTTGGGGCTTTCTGGTCTCCTTCCTCACTTCATTTCATTTGATTTCTGTTATTTTGCTGCTGCAACTTGTGCCCTGCCTCTGCCTGCCTGCCTGCTTCTGTTGTGTATTTGGGAATTAGGGCAGAGATGTAAAATGATTTTTGAATTAGAGTGTGATTTTGATAAGTTATTGAATGAAAGAATGAAGGCTTTGAAGCTTTGAAATTTGGAATGTGACAAAGAAATTGACCAAGTCGTGTATTTGCCTCATATGAAATGAAGACATGGAATATCTGGATTTATTACATGGCTTGTTTTGGTTGACCCACTAATCATTTTTAAATTTCATCTCTTTAATATCAAGTGTTATGATTAGTCATCCCACTAATCTCATATTTATTTTTCATTTCTTTATTTAGTATATCAACTATATAGTCTACCATATTATAATCCTTACTATTAAATTTTATTTGTTTCCTTTTTCTGATTTTAAAAAATATATATTATCTGGGTTGGCTACCAAATATTTATGCATGCTGCAACTTCAGCTTTGTAAAGTTTAGTTGCTATTAACCAATTGAGTGTTAGTTAGATTGGTCCAGGTCTTTGGCTTGCTTCCAGGTGATCGTGAGTTCAATTCCCACCCGTGTGTGTGAGTTTTCCCCTCTTCCTCTTCCTAATTTTGGCAACTAAAAAAAAAGAAGTTTTGCAGCTATAAAAATTATAGAAAACACCTTGACAAAGTGGAAATAATTATTTTTTCTTGTGTCTTAAGAGTTTATGATTGTTATATAACATGACATACATCATGACCTCTATTTAATTTAATGAAGCATTGGAATCATCATGGGAATAAAATCAAATACTAATAAAAACAAACTACATTGTGACAAATTAAAACAGAAACAAAAAAACAGAAAACAAAACAAAAGAAATGTTTGGGTACATGCTTGAAGAAGCCCATGATAATTTCCAAATGCACCTAAAGGGCCATAATGGTCATAGCATTCTTGGCACCGAAGCAAAGCAAAGACATTTCAAGTTTGAGTTTGCCACATTTCTTGTGTAGAGCTCAAGGAAGTAATTGGTCAAGAGTCAAGACCTGTCCTTTTAAGCTCCAGCTGCCAAGCTTCATTCAATTTCCTGGTAAAAATGTATCAGAAGGATAGTCAAACCTCTGTCACCAATAGTTCCCTGAATTCCCATCTTTCTATCTTGAAACTGTCTGTCAACAAAAAATCAGGCTGCCTGTTTGAACATCTGGTTACATTGTTACTTTGAGTTCAAATTCTTTGCTTATACTTATGGAGTACAAAATGAGTATATGAATTGAATAATACCTTGTATAAATCAGATAGTTCCTTCAGATCAAACAAAATTAGCATGGTACTAGATGTACAATTAGCGAATCTTATCGAGGCAACAACACTGTTATCGAAGATTCATTAGTTGAAGATGTTTCGTTTCTCACACCGAAAGTTGAAGACGTTTGGTTCTTACTTGAAGAAGAACCTGCTTCAGAGGATGGATGTTTTCCTAAAAAGAAAGCTGGCTTTTTGGGTTGAGGCAAGGCGCTCTCACCACCTAACATCAGAACCACAGTAGACATGGTTGGCCTGTCTTCAGGAAGCTGTTGCACACATAAAAGACTAACATGTACGCAACGCAAGACTTCCGAGAGAGTGCATGAATCACTTAAGCATTTATCAATCATTTCTAAGGACCTTCCCTCTTTCCATAATCGCCATGCCTAAAGGCACATGTAACATGTTTGACAGTCACAAAATGAAACACAAGTAAAATGAGAAACTCAATAGTTGATACTTACATGTCCAATGAGGTTGAGGCTGTGATTTTGATCATAAAACCCTCTACTTCTCTTTCCACTTAGTGTCTCCAATAATAAAACACCAAAGCTAAAAACATCGGATTTTACGGAGAATTGACCATCAATGGCGTATTCTGGTGCCATATAACCACTGCAGTATGTCACAAGAAACAAAACTTTAATGATTCAGAAAGTAGTAGATAATAGGCAGAGATGCATAGGATACTTACTAGGTTCCAACAACTTTCTTTGTAACTCCTTCAGTCTGATCTCCTCCAAATATTCTAGCCATGCCAAAGTCTGAGATTTTTGGGTTCATCTCTTTATCAAGCAACACATTGCTTGCTTTAAGATCTCTATGAATAATCCTCAGTCTGGAATCTTGATGCAGATAGAGAAGACCCCTTGCAATCCCACAGATAATGTGGAAGCGTTGAGACCAATCTAACAGTCTACCTTGAGTTTGATCTGGCAAGTTTTAATTCATGTCACTCTAATTTGAGTTCTCAGAAGTACAAATTCAAGCGTCTTAGAACCAGAAGTACGATGTTTGTAGTGCAATATCTAATTCCAACAGTATTAGTAAGTTACAAACGAACCATACCAAAAATGTAGAAGTCCAAGCTTTTGTTGGGCATATATTCATAAATGAGCAATCTTTCTTCTCCCTGAATGCAGTAGCCAAGAAGCTTTACAAGATTTCGGTGCTGAAGCTTGGCTATTAGTATAACTTCATTTTTGAATTCGGCAATTCCTTGCCTAGAACTTTGGGAGAGCCTCTTCACTGCAATCTCTTGCCCATCTACTAGTCTACCCTGAAAATTCTCTTTAGCAAAAGCACTATGAAGTTTTGAACAAAACAACTGCTTCATTGATGTTTACAGGATCACAAAATTAGAAATTTACCTTGTACACGGATCCAAAACCACCTTCTCCAAGCTTCATGTTGAACGAAAAGTTATCAGTGGCTGTGATTAATGTTGGCAAGCTAAAGGATGGTAGCTCCAGGTCTTCCTTCTGTCCTTCATTGTTCTGACCCATCATTCCATCTTTCCGCAGTTTCTCTAACACAAAGAATAAAAACAAAGAAGATCAGCTTCTCATCAGGTACAATAAATCAGAAATAGACTCTTAAATAAAATCAAAAAGCGTTGAAGGAATTGACTTGATACATGTAAACTTATTACATGTCAATTGACCCTTAATGAAAATACAGATCCAGTGAATCTTTTGCCTTCTTCTTACCCTACATCAAGCATCTTCCTCAATTGGTAGTTAAATGATTTTTCTCGGCTCTATTAATATGAAATATATACTAAGGCTTGTGCTGCTCATTTGATTTCATCAATCTTCTTTATTTCCTTAAGTCTTATTCTTGTTCTGGTTTTAGTGCAGATTAAGTTAATATACTCACGTCGACAGATGTTCCCTTTAACTTTGCAACTTTTGTTGAATTCATTCTAGTGTTAAAACAAGAGCTTCAGTTACAATTGCAATGGAACTTCCAGACTTGAATTAAGCTCTATCTCATAGCATTCCTGAGGACTTTTTATATCATTATGTGCAATGTAAAAAATTTCTTCGGTTGGTGACAATATTTATTAATACTTTCGCAAAAGCATTAGAAGTTGAGATTAAATGAGAACACATCAAAGCACCTCTTGTTCAGGATATTCCATTGCACAATGTAGGCAGAGTCTCTTTACAGTACCAATTGGGAACAAAAAGATGATATGGACTAATGGGAATATGTTTTAGAGAAGAATATTACCTTTGAGCTTTCTCCTCCTTCTGTGAATACAATAGACAGCTAAGAACATCCCGGAAACAATGGATACTGCGGCTACAGCTATCACTATTATCTTTGTCTTACGCGAATGGTCTGTGTCTTCATAGGTTATTTCAAAAGGGCAAAGCAACTAGAGTTATATCACAGCTTCAACTAAAAATACGGGAACTATAAAGCAGGGGACATAATCAAAGTTTTTAGAGCAGCTAATGGATTCATCAGGCAATACAAAACAACTGATACAAGATCTAGCAAAACAAGAGAAGTTTACATAATTATTTAGGCCCTAGGCTAAACAAAAATGATTACTAAAATGGTACACATAAAGTTAAAAGATTAAATCACACACCTGATTCCGAAGCAGGCATTCGAACATATAGATCCTGCCCTTCATCAAGAAGCTTCCTAAGGCTGATAAGATCACCAAACCAGATAGTGCAGCTACTGCCCCCTTTGACATTAGAGATTGCATAAGCCGTACAAGAACAGTTGTTCAAGCAACTTGCCCTGCATTCTTTGAGGCTCATACTTCGGTTGACCCAAGAATGTGTTGTATCTGGCAGCTTCACCCCACCATATTTCTTAAACCCATCTCCATTTTGGCACACGAATGGTGTAATACGCTCACAACCTCCGGAGTTGTCTGCATAGTTCCAATTTCCAGGATCTTTGGGTTGAAACCCTTTTAAACAGCTGCAAACTTCTGAGTTGCTAATGTCACACATCCCATAGGGGCCACAACGGGCATAATTGTCACAGACGTCACTTGAACTCGAAGCCAATAGACTCCGGTAAAGACCGGCCTTCTCGTCCCACTGCAAGCTTTGCCACAAGTAGTTCCTTGAATTCCCATCTCGGGCTTCTCTTAGGACAAGTTTGCCAGAATCCAAGAGCTGCAAAATCGGATTCCGGGGTTGCTTGGACAAAGCTATTGACCAAACAACAGTGCTATTTTGACTTAGAAGGACAACATTTCCGGAGCTGTTGATCATCAGAAGGCCTGATGAACCATTGATGGGGTTGTGCTGATTTGCAACCCAAGTAACAGTTGTGGCTGATGAGACTGATGAATTCTTGCACCAAATCCCCAAGAAGCGGTTCTTGGTGTCACCAGCTGTTGGACTGAAAAAAACCCAACTGAAAGCTGCCATGTTTGGAAACCAAGGTTTTGCCATCTCTAAGGGTTTGGGATTGTGTTATGGCATCAGCTGCATTTGAGGTTGTGAAGAAAGAGACAGACACATAAATTCCAACGAACATGAAACAAGAAATGGTCATGGTTTTATGCCCACTGCCGACCGCTAACTTTTAACTACTACCGTGCAAATTATACGAAGTTCCAGATTGGATTACATTTTGTCGAATCAAAAATAAAAATATTAGATTAGATTTTGATGGAGTGAACCAGAGACCGTGAACCATAAGCCAGGTGAGTTTTCTTTGTCCATTTTTGGGCCCCACTAGTTGAGCTAAAATTGGATTTGGGGCATCAAGGCATGTGACAAGTGTACTTATTCTGGTTGTCCTTTGAATTTAAGATGAAACAAAGGGTAGGTTGCCCTTGTCATCTTAAATTGAATTTTGTCAGTTGCACGTGTCAGAACAGGAGGAAAATGATAGGTTTTTTATGGTCTGTATCCAACGGCTGTGGTTCATCAGGATTCGATGATCATGTGGCTTCCAAATATACGTGGTCATTGAAAATACGTCATTTGGCGTCAATTCTAAAGATTTGCCGTTGTTAAAAATCGAAATTAGTCGGATGTGTTCAATTATCTTAAGAAAATTAGGTGACATGTTGCTGTCATAGACGTCCATGAAACGTGAATGTCATAGTGTTTCCACTGGCTTTTTATCCAATTCAAATAAAGTCTCTTCATTTCTTTGAAGATTGGGCCAAAAAAAGGAAAAATATATATTTCGTGGTGGTAGTTGTAACTTTTACCAACTGGCTTGTGGAAAGATTTTATCAGTCATTCCCATGAAATCAGTCATCAATTACCATGTTCTGTTATGGTGTTTTAGTGGTTGGTTTGTTGTCTTTTTTTTTTTTTTTTTTTTTTTTTTTTTTTTGTTTGGTCGTAATCAATCAATGTTCATTCAAATCCTAAAAATGAGAGAGAAACACACAGAGAATACAAGAGTTGAAAAGACCAAATACAAGAACAAGACACCACAAACACAAAAAGATTAGACTAAAACCAGCACAGTCTAGTATAATAATCTTCCCCGTCACAAAATCAAAATAAATTACAACATAAAGTCATCATTACTTTAAAGGAAACAGAGACCACACCATCACACCCACCACACAGGTCAACATTGCCTCTTGTTTAAGTTGTCTGAGGTCTTAGGCTTTTGTTTCTTATGTTTTGTTGGAAATTACATGCCTTGTGTTTGTACTCTTGTTGAGGTTTGCCCTCAGTTTGGTTTCCTCATTTATTGCTTACCTTCAAAATTCCTAATAACCAGATTTTTGCGGCATTAATTATGCATATAGGAAGTCATTGCTAGCCCTGGTGGCATATTGTCTTTACTTTGTTGGATGAGGTCTTAGATTTACATCTCATCGATGAACAGTAATATTGTGTTGTTCAATAAAAAGGAACTCGACAGTAACATTCATAAATATCACATTTTCATTCATTGCCAATTAATTTTGGGTTAAATGCTCTCATGTATTATGTTATCAAAGCATGGTTTTGTAGATAAAAAAAAAAGGTTTGTTTTGTGTACTAGCTCTTGTGGTTGATGGTCTTTGCGCATGAATTACATATAAAAATAAACTAGTGTATTTTAGATAGGTATACGGTGAATGTATCTTTCTGTGTTGAAGAATATAAATCCCACATCGAAAACTTGACTAAATAAAATATAAGATATAATGAATGGTTCCATTACTAATATCATCGAGGCCTTTTGCGATAAAACCTCACACTTACTGGGCTTTGTAGGTAGTTAAGTTGGGGACAATATCGGTGTGGTTAGTAATGGGCCACTGGCCCGTCTCTCTGAATTTAATATGGTATTAGAGGATAAAAAGATAGGAAATAAACACGTGCAAGAAATTCTTCTTTAAAGCTCACACGAATCAGTTGATCCATCATTCAGTCATTTGTTTATAGAATGGTCACACAAGTCAACAACTCGTGCATCATTTCTTTACATGCCCTTCTAGATGTTTCATTCATCATGTCTTCAATTAACTTCTAAGCATAAAAGACCCCCCAAAAAACAAGAAAGAAATGGAGATCCTTCTTGCCTCAACTCTTGAGTTCAATTGATGTTATTGCCCAGAAAAAAACACTGTTGTTTAGCCAGCAAACCCAACAAAAGTTGTACAAACTTTTAGATTCTGGAAATCTAGTACTAAGAGATGAAAAATATGACAATTCAGACAAGTATTTGTGGCACACCTTAATTTCACTATCTTTCTGATACATCGTTACTAGGAAATTGAATGTAGCTTTGGCAGCTAGGGCTTAAATCGTTGAGCTGCCAAGATAGAGATATAGATGTGTTTCTCAAATTTGTTGGCTTGAAATTGCTGGATGCTAGACTCAAACAATATGGGTAGAATATTTTTCAGGTTGTATTTCATTCTCCAAAAGAATGTATTTATAGTACAAGGATGTAACCCTAGTAGGGTCAAACTAGGAAACAAGATAAAAACCTAATTACACAATATCTGTACAAAAAGGAAATAAATATAATCATAATAAACTAGGAAATAAATATCCTAATTAAGCTAGGATCTCGCTAACACTTCCCCTCAAGTTGGAGCAAAGATGTCACGCATGCCCAACTTGTCAAGTGAGTTGAGAAAGACCGTAGTAGACACAGCTTTCGTAAGAACATCTGCCAGTTGATACTCGGATGATATAAACAGAAAAGAAATAATTTCAGCATCCAACTTCTCTTTAACAAAATGTCGATCAACCTCCACGTGCTTTGTACGATCATGTTGCACAGGGTTATGCACAATTGCAGCTTTATTATCACAATACAAATCCATGGGTTTCTTGGGTCCAAACCCAAGATCTCTCAACAATCTTCTCAACCATAATAACTTGCACACACCTTGAGCCATCCCACGGTACTCGGCCTCGGCACTAGACCTAGACACCACTTTTTACTTTTTACTCCTCCAAGTAACAAGATTACCATCAACAAATGTGAAATACCCAGACGTAGAACGTCTATCAGTGACTGAACCAGCCCAATCAGTATCTGTATACCCTTCCACATATGTATGACCATTCTTGCAAAACATTAACCCCTTTCCAGGAGTTACTTTCAAATACCTTAAGATGCGCATCACAGCACTCATGTGATCTTCACTAGGAGAATGTATAAACTGACTCACTACACTCACTGCATATGCAATATCAGGACGTGTATAAGATAAATAAATCAATTTCCCCACAAGTCGTTGATAACGCTCTTTATCTGTAGGGACTTGATTAGGATACAACCCTAACTTATGATTCTGTTCACTAGGGGTATCAATTGGTTTATAATCTAACATTCCAGTCTCTGCAAGTAAATCCAAAATATACTTTCTTTGAGACAAAAAGATACCATGTTTACATCTGGCAACTTCAATCCCAAGAAAGTACTTCAAATCACCCAATGACTTCATCTCAAACTCATAAGCCAGATACTTCTGAAGATTTTGCATTTCTGCATGATCATCTCTAGTCATAATCATATCATCAACATAAATAATTAAAGCTGTCAATTTACCTTTATGATACTTTAGAAACAAAGTATGGTCTGAGTTACTCTGCACATACCCAAATTTCTTCATAGATGTTGCAAATCTCCCTAACCACGCTCTTGGAGACTGCTTCAATCCATATAAAGACTTCTGCAGCTTACACACAATACCCTTCTTAGAGGTTACAGGAATACCATGAGGGAAATCCATGTAAATCTCCTCCTTGAGGTCACCATGTAGAAACGTATTTTTAACATCGAATTGTAATAAGGGTCAATCCCGATTAGCAGCCAGGGACAATAGTACACGCACAGTATTGAGCTTTGCCACTAGAGCAAAGGTCTCCAAATAATCCACTCCATAGATCTGAGTATAACCATATGCTACCAATCTAGCCTTGTAACAGTTAATGGAACCATCAGCTTTATGCTTCAAAGAAAACACCCATCTGCATCCAACAGCTTTCTTCCCTCACGGCAAAAGAACTAAATCTCATGTTTTATTCTTGTTCAAGGCATCCATTTCAACATTCATGGCATCCATCCACTTGGGGTCACATAAAGCATCATGCAGCTTAGTTGGCACACATACACTAGATAATTGACACAAATATGATGCATATGACTTAGACAAATGATGAGTTGACACATAATGGCTAAAAGGATATTTAGATTTGGAATGTATATTAGGAGAATATTGTACTTTAGGTTTCCCACGAGTGGTTCGTAGGAGTAACTGATAAGTTGACACAGATAGATCATTAGAAATTACCTCACTTGATTCACTATCACAAGTACATTGAGGCACTGGCAGGGCAGAGGGGTATTGCATCGAACTCATCCATACAAGAATCACTGTCATTATTTTCAAATACAAGCGACTGGTCACTTGCTTCAGTGTGACCGGTCGTTTCGACATCGAGAGCACCTACTTCATCTATAGATATGGGCGACTGGTCGAATTCCAAAGGGCGATTAGTCGTTTCTTCACAGGGACCACAAGTTTCATCTTTAGATATGGGTGACTGGTCACTTGCTTCAGTGCGACATGTCATTTCCTTCCTGATAGCAGTGTCTTCAAACACATCATTCTCTAATCCAAGACTCTCTAATTCACTCCCCCTCTCCTCCTGAATTGGAGAGGATGGAGAGACATAATAGGGCACTTCTTCATGAAAAGTTACGTCCAAAGTAACATGCACCTTTTGGATAGGTGGATGATAGCACTTATAACCTTTCTGAGTAGAAGAGTAACCAATACAGACACATCGCATAGCACAAGGATCAAGTTTACTCCGTTGATAAGAGTAGACATGAACATAGGCAACACACCCAAAAACTTTAGGGGGCAACTTGGAGACTGAGACAGGGAAAACATAGTCACCAAACACATCATGTGGAGTCTTGAAATCAAGAACCCAGCTAGGAGTACGATTACTCAAATAGGCAGCAAATAAAACAGCATGCCCCCAAAGATGATGGGGAACAGACATGTCCAATATAAGGGAGCGGGCAACTTCAAGTAACTGACAATTCTTGCGTTCAGACACACCATTCTGCCGAGGAGTAAATGAGGTTGTCGTTTGGTGAATAATACCTTGAGCATAGAAGAAAGATGTCAAAGTGTTATTCACATATTTGCCTCCGTTATCAGTCCATAATACTTTGACCCTAGCATGAAATTGAGTAGACACCATAGTATAGAACTCTGGAAGGATGGAAGCAACATCATGTTTATTTTTCAGCAAGAAAACCCAAGTAAGTCTGGTACAATCATTAATAAATATGACGAACCAACGAAATCCATTCGAAATAACTCGAGCCGGACCCCACACATTAGAATGCGCTAAATCAAAAGGCTTTGTAGCTTTACTGTCACTCAAAGTGCGATAACTCTTGGCCAAAATACATGTCTCACACTTAAAACTGGACTCATCACAAGAGCGGAATAAAGATGGAAACAGACGCTTAAGGTAGCCAAATGACGAGTGTCCCAAACGACGATGTCATAGCCAAATTTGATGTTTGTCTTTGACAGTGTAACTTTGAACAGTATTAACGACACGATCACGAACTGGTGCAAAAGGCAATGTCAAATAATATAACCCCCTTACCCGTTTACCATGCTCAATCATCTCGTGAGTCTTGAGATCCTGAAAATAGCAATGCGTAGGATATAAAGTAGCAGAAACATTAATTGTATCAAGTAATCGACCAACAGATAACAAGTTACAATAGATATTGGGAACTAGTAACGCATGAGACAAGGATAGAGTATGAGTGAGAAAGATTATGCCCTCACCAGTAATTGGAGAGGGCAAGTCATTAGCACTAGTTATGTATGGGTCACGAGTGTTACTAGACAACTCATCAAAAAATTTAGCATCATAAGTCATATGATCAGAAGCACCAGTGTCAATTATCCAAGTGTTGGAGCCAGTACCTGGAATAGAATCAAAAACACACAAATTTGCAGAGGCAGCAGCAACAGCACCAACAATGGAGTTATCACCCATGATTGCAGCAGAAACTCAACAGATCACGACATAGTATATAACAGAACACTACAGAGGCACAAATAAGGCAGATGGATGAACACAACACAACACACAAAACCAGTAGAGAAAAAATATATGGGGATAGAACACGGATGGGCACAACACACAGGTCACCAGAAAAGTTAGCTCTGATGCCAAGTCAAACAATATGGATAGAATATTTTTCAGGTTGTATTTCATTCTCCAAAAAAAGGTATTTATAGTACAAGGATGTAACCCTAGTATGGTCAAACTAGGAAACAAGATAAAAATCTAATTACACAATATCTGTACAAAAAGAAAAGAAATATAATCATAATAAACTAGGAAATAAATATCCTAATTAAGATAGGATCTCGCTAACAGCTAGTACACATTATTGGTTGAATGGACGTGTACATTTGAAGTTCAATAATATACCATGAAAGCCAAAGTCTTTGTTGCACTTTACTGATGAATTTAAGAAATTGGTATGTGTTAGAGTTTGAGGTGTTTTGAGTTGAAAGTTCTCTGAGTGTTCTTTTGTTATGCATTGAAATATTAGAGAACACTCTACTCAAGTGTTGGTCCTCCATTTAGATTACTTTGGGCCCGTAATTTTTGTTTTTGGGTCAAGCTTGGGCCTTGACTCTTTCAGGCTTGAACAAGGTTGCGGGAAAGGCCTAGGCTGGACTGGACTGAAATTGAGCCTCATTGCTAAAGCTCAAGAACACCAACCTATGCTATCATGAATCATATACGCTTTCATTATTTATCAAAATGTTGAGTTTACAAAGATATGGGCTTAGCCGAGTTGGCTAGAGCGGATGTACTCCCCACTCCGCACTCGAGTTGAAATCCCTCTCCCCATATTTTAGATTATATTAATAGTATAATATCGTTTGTATAAAAAATAAAAAAATAAAAAATAAATGTTGAGTTTACTTATTAATAAGTTTGGTCTAAAAAGTAACCACTCTGAACTGAATGCCTATGCGAAACATATATTTCAGAGACCCTTGTTGAAATATAGAGTTCATGCAGACATACTTGTTATAACAGCCAGGGACGGACCCGCAATGGGGTCACTGGGGTCAAATGACCCCATGGAAGCCATGAAAATAGGCTTGGAGGTCCACTTGAGTGGGATGTGTGCCCCTTGAATTGCCCTCCAAGTGCTTGATGTTTTGCTTGAGAGGAAGAAGGAGGAAGCTGCGCGTAGGAGGAAGAAGAAGCAGCGCAACATGATTCTGTTTTTTTTTTAAACACCCTGGGCAAAACGACGTCATTTTGGCCCAGGAAAATTTTTAAAATAAAAAATCCTTCCGTATCCCTCCATTCTCCCACGTCTGTTTCCTAAGCATAGAGTCGTAGGTTCGACCCCTACTTGGTGCGTTTTCTTTTTAATCTTTTTAACTTGTTTTGTTGTTGGAATCAGCCAGTTAACTTTGTTCCATTTATTATTATTTCTTCCTCCCAAATTCCAATGATTAGCTTAGAAATTAGAATTCATGAATGATGAGCTTTACTTGTAATTTTATCTAAGGATGACCACAACATGGTTTTATCACCACTATTTAACACTTAAGAATTTCTCCACACAAACAAAAAACCAAAAACCAAAAACCAAAAAAAAACCAAAAAACTTGTTTTTCCTCATTGTAATTAGAACAAAATGTAGTAACCAACAGATTGGAACCAGATGCGCATGCAAAATATCTGACCCAATAAAATTTTGGCTTGTTTTTCTAACAGTGCTAAAACCAATATTACAAAAAAGTCTAAACAATAAAATTTTGGCTTGAAATTTTACGAATTGAAATTACTCAAAAACATACATTAAACAAATGACAAATTCAAATCATTCAAAGTATATTTTTCCAAGAAAGGAAGATAAGAAAAATAACTCATTCTTAAATTTTCTTTGGAACATTTGCCCTATGACCCTACGAGGTTCTTATCCTGAGTCCGTCATTGATAACAGCCCTGGTTACCGTTATCAATATAAACCTGGTAGGAATGGTCTAAAAGAGGTGCCCATTAGAAATGGTCAAATAATATGATTGATCCAAATAAAATAGTTGGGTTCTCTTCTCAATTTCAATCTATGTGAAGCTGGGCCATTTCTTTTATCAGAGACCACTGGAATGCTAAATCAGAACAATAAATAAAGCCCAAACTGAAAACGACTTTGTATACTGAATGAGCTCAGGAATTAACTTATTCTGATAGCCAAACTTGAGGATCAAAATCTTGTAAGGGAAGAGAAAATGCTGATTTATGAATATATGCCCAACAAAGGCCTTGAATCCTTCATATTTGGTTTGATCCATTGCCACAAAACCTTAAACATTTAATCTAATTAGAGAAATTAACAATCCTTAATTTGATAAAATGTTAATCTTCTAAATTTGTTGTCTAAATTAATATGTGGAATTGCTAGGAGGGGCATGGTTTAGGTATGGACACTGTTGAAAAAGGAAAAGGTAGTCTCTCTCTTCTAAGCAGCATTCCTCAAATCAAGCAAGTCATTTTTTTACCACGCAGTCCTCCATTTTAAAAATTTTGTTTTTTTTTTTTTTTTTTTTTTTTTTTTTAAATATGGAGTTCGAACCCGAGATCACTGGTTTGAAAGTCAAGACCCCCGTTGGAATGAAATTATTGTTTTACTACTAGACAATAGCAAATACTTGTGATCTGTTACATATGGTACCCCATATTTCCGAAGCCAATTATGGATAACTCCAAATGATTAACTCATTTAAAGCTGTTAATCCCCTTAATTAGAAATAAACTTTCTATTGAAATTGGATGGATCATGGATGCAAAATGATCATGAGCTTCAGAGAAAGTTGGTCAAGAGACTGGAAAAAGTGCAGCAGAGAAGCTTATCCAGGACTTACCTGTGGCTGTAAGGGATATCATTGTGATGGACAAATGCTTTCATACATATCATATCATATGTCTTTGTTCCAAAAAAGCTTGTCATATCAATTTGAGGTAGCTTGGACATGTGGTCACAGCTTCTGTCCAATTCCTGTTCTAAGTGCTTTTAAGCTGCTGCTAATTGCAGTGGATGATTGAATCCAAATGATTTAAGAGTAAAAATATGTAACTTTGAGGACAAGGAAGGTGAGCTGCCCTCCCCTACAACATTATGGGCAAGACAAGGTTCAGAATTCTTGAAGCAAAAGCCAATTTCTTTCTTTATTTTTTTTATTTACTGGTGGACCTATTCAAGGAATTATGAATAATAATGATAATATAAAGAGGCATAAATGTTTCTGATAATCTAAGGGAAACCCATGCTTGCTTTTTCTCATCAATGTTTGAAAAGTTAGTTTTGTTTGTAGGGCAAGAGAAGCCCATCAAAGTTGAGATATGTTCATGGATGACTACAAATTCTGCTTTTTACAATAGTATAATGGAATGGTCGATGTCAAACAAATAAAATACTTGGACTCGATCAATTCCCCAGTTGCTTTCTCCAATATGATGTTTATAAAATATTTACATTGCATTTTGTTTCTTCTGTTTAATTCACTAAGAAATTACCAATAATAGCTTGACTGGGTATGAAGTTTGAGATTTCTCCTTCCAGCTTGAGCTTTTATCTGATTAATAGTCCCTGTGTTTTAGCATGTTGGTCAATTTAGCCCCTGTGTTTTCAATTTGGCCGATTTGATTCTTATGTTTAGTAATATTAGCCAATATAGCACATCCATTAAAATTGTCATTAAATAAACATGATAATCCTTCTTTTTCTTTTCTTCTTCTTTGAAAAATATAAATTTCGGCTAAATTGACTAAATTAAAAATACAGGTACTAAATTAACCAACGGACTAAAACACGGACTAATTTTAGCATTTATGCCTTCAAAAATTGAGGGTAAAAAGATTGGCACAAAACAAAAGCAAAAGAAGTTGTGAATTGGTATTAATCAACTGCCGGCTTTCTGTTTTATATACAACTTGCTTTCACTTGATTTATTTTATGGGAGGAATTTAAGGAAATTCGTTATTTACTTCAAGGAAGCAGCCATACATCATCATCAGCGCAAGGGGAGGCACTAAAATTCATGTGAACCCTGCTTTGACCCGATCAGATTAATCAACCGCTTTGGCAGACTTCCATGTCATGGCTTTTGAACCAATTGGGATTTGGGGATATGCAATTTTGACATTTAAAAAAAACAGCTGGAAGTTGGATTTTCTTGACCAAAATATATTTCCTACAACACCCTCTATCATGGCCTTAGATGATAATAAAATAGGGAGCTTCATATTTGAGGAGTTCTTTCTGGGACCCACTATGTAATATAATTTAACGATTAAAATAATTGGTGTTTTAAATTTTCACTCAAAGATTATTTTTATAAAAAATTACCTAAATAGAAAACTCTTTCATTTTAGGAATTTTTTTTTTCTTCTACAAAATTTTTTGTTTATTTATTTTCTATCACATTTATATGTTTAATAATTAAGGGTTTGTCTTATTTTTTTCAAGAGTAGTTTATTGATAAAGACTTAAAAACTAAATAACGTAAGTCTACTCAACAAATATGTGTTCCTCGAATAAACTTATTAGAGAAATAAACATAATTGGTGCTAAAATGTGATTTTTTGTGAATATAAAAAGTTTAATAATGTCGAGAGACATAATAGGGTGGGGAGGGGGGAGGTGAATCGAGGGTGGGGCTTGGTTGGTGGGTGAGGTGCATCAGAGAGGGCTGTGCTGGAGGTGGCTAGTGGGTCGTTGTCGGGGGAAGAGGTGGCTGGGTGGGGAGGTTGGGCATCAATGGTTGTACGGTTGATGGAGGTGGGGGTTTTTATTTTCTGAATTTTTATTTTTATTTTTTATTTTTCTTTAAAATTATTAATTTACCCTTAAATATACTGAATTTTGGAAGGACATCCAAAAAATTGATGGCAAGTCCAAATTGAACCCATCTGACGACAAATGACGGCAGGATAATAAACCTCACAGCCACAAGAATAAT